TTTTTTTTTAATAGTTTACTATATTATAATATTTTAAACAATACTATCCCTATTCTTACTCTTTCGATTCTAACCATATTTGATACCACTAACTATGTTACTCTAATTTTAACTTTACAATTAATAGCGATCTTTTCCAGATTACGCGAAGCTTTTCAGAGGGGAGATTTTCTTTTCTTTCACTTGATTCTTTAGGCTTTGAAAGTTTACAAATAAAAGTTTTACGTTCATTACTATTATCCATTATGTAACCATTGAATCTTGTCCAAAAGTTATTAACAAAAACCCACTATTTGTTAAAATCCTCAGTAGAAAGCTTAAACACTTCATTCATATTAAAAAAATATTCTCTAATAGTCGATATTGCTGTGGTGTAACCATCATTGTAGTTCCATTATTACTATAGGTTTTTTTTTATTATTATTATTATTTTCTTTTTTTATTTTTCTTTTTTCTTTTTATAATTAGTCATTTGACTAAAAACTGTTTGCTTGCTTGTTGTTTGTCATGGAGTTTTTATTCAACCGGAAGTTGTTTATTTGCTTGCTGTTTGCTTCATTTGCTTGCTGTTTGCTGTAGAGTTTGTTATAACCGGAAGTGGCTCGTTTGCTGTTTGCCATGAGGGTTTTTTTTTTATCCAAAGTTTCGAGACACCAGTCCACTGTGAGTTTTTTATATATAGTATTCTTGCAGAGAACTTTTATTCTTTAAGCTAGTAATTATTTAATATAAAGATCTTATTTTTTTAAAAAAAAAATAAATAAATAAATAAATATTTATAGTTGCACAATTCTATTGGCTGCTGCATGTCGATCAGTCAATCATGCGACTGGTGTCAATTGATCTGCACGACCCCCTGGGATCGTCAGCTTAATAGTTACCCCGTTTTAGCGATCCCCCTAATTAGCCAGTCTAATTACAATTCTGTAGCTGACTGGTATTGCTTAATGCCGGCTAGCTCCGGGCCTATTCCGACTCTAAATTTTGGTCGATTTTCTGAATTTTGGTTGCTCCACTAACCTATCCTCTGCTGTGACCATCCTACCGGACATATATAAAAAAACGAAAAATCTGGTCCGGTAAACAATAAACTTAAAACCCTATTGACAGATTAGTTGAGCAACCAAAATTCAGCAGATCGACCAAAATTTAGGGTCGGAATAGGCCCGGTGCTAGGCTGGCATTAAGCGATAATACATGCTATCGCTATAGCAAGGTTATCATCTGGGCAGCTTTACTTAGTACGTGGGCTACCATTTCATTAGGTAATTTTTGGGATAAATTTATCAATTCCGGTCTATTCCGATCCTAAATTTGGTTGCTCCACTACCGTAAAACGCCGTATAAGGTACCCCCCTTGATTTGTACCGGGTATGTTTCAAGGTTATTTGTTGTGGTGTTTTGTAAGAGACCCGGGTATAAATCAAGGATCGATTTAATAATGAAAATCTTTTTTTACTAATGGGCTAATATATGTTTTTCACAAGATACCCCCCATATAATATACCCTCCTCCATACAAGGTACCCGGGGGTACAAATCAAATTTTTATCATGTGAATTGTAAGATACCCGGGTACCTTATACGGCGTTTTACGGTAATCTATCCCTTGATGACTGGACTCGCCCAAACATTCTAAGAATAACAATTTATCGTTATGTTTATTAAAAATTGATATAAAACATCTGAATTCAATATTTATTTTTTTATAAAAATGATTCAAGACAAAAAATCAGCTTTCTAAAAAGAAAAAAAATATCATTTATATACAACAAAATCTAGATTAAAATCTAATAATAAATATACTGTAAAAAAATAAAATTCTTAAGACAAAATAATTAAAATACAAGTACTTGTTAAAATTTTAATGTTACACATATTAATGAAAAACGACAAAAATAAAGTGATAAGAGAATGAAAATGTAAGAATTGATCATAAAGAATCTGACTTAGCTGAGCATAACGAAATGCGCGATTTGTGCAGAGAAGCTCAATTACTCGAAATCGAACTAACCAATTAGGACTTCACTGGACGAGGCAACATTAAGCATTTTCAGCCATTGTAAATTTTTCTGATAACAAACATACCTCCCATAACATTCCTGAAGACAAGAACATTGTTTATAACATTCATCATCTTATGGTATAAATATTACAACGATTAACAGAAATTCGCAATACTACATTTCTTGAAATCTCTGATATTACACTGGAGTTGAGATATTATTGAAATATATATGTATATATACGTACATTGTTGTGTAATTACAGTGTATTTCTCAAAGATAAAATAAGGAGAGGATGGTGTTCGTAATGATGGCATGACAGAGACGCAAAAATAAAAACGATGGAAAATAGAAGAATATATGTAATTGATTGTTCTATAATATTTTTAACGGCCACCAAATCCTTGTCTCTCGATTTCTTCCAAAGTCATCATCCCACGTTGTTGTATATTCGTACTATTTGGAATGCCTGTTACAAAAAAAGGATTAATATAAAGGTGCGATTATTATTAATTTGTGAGTGAAAATTTATACCTGGTATATTATTCGGAGCCATTGCATTGTTCACAATGTTCGGAATAAACTGTGCATATCCGTGCATGTTTGCGAAAAGAGCCTCGGTACCGGGTGGCAACATTCCTGGATGATGATGGACTGGATGATGTGGTATCGAAGGACCATTAAACTGGATTTGTTGAGGGTAGCGTTCAGTTTGAGGTTGATAACCAAATGGTATTTGAGGTGGAATGGGGGGCTGTTGAAATTGCGGAGGAACTTGTTGTGGAACGTTACGTGGAGGAATCATGCTAAACAACTGTTCTACTGGTATGTTGCGGCCGATAGGTGGAGGGTACTCCGGTCGATTATGCGAATGCTGAGAGATATTTGGTCCGTTAGAGTAACTAGGCACGTTGTTGTGATACTGTGAATGGTTATGACTTTGTTGATGAAGATGATTGGGGGAGTGAGGTGGAGGTGATTTAAACATCGGCGCGTGGATATCATGAATATGTGCCGATGATTGCGGTGAATGTTGAAAGTTGGAAATAATAGGTTTGGTATTGAATTTTAATGCCGGTGAAGATGCGGCTGACGACTCTCTGGAACCATTATCTGACCTTGAACTCAACTGGCGATATACTGAAGTTGGTACATTGCCTCCGAAGAGCATATTAATTTTTTTCGCTGAGTCGGTAGAAGGTAATTCGGAAAGTCCTAAATGCCTATTTGAAATATCAAGTTTTGATTGATGTTGGCTAGTTTTTACCCCCGGAGTTGACTTCTGCGCACTGATAATAGAAGGATCGTTAAAAGGCAATCCCGTGTGCGATATTGCAGATTGGTGCGCTGAGGACTGATTGGATAACGATATTGGCATATTAGATTGCGGTGGCCTCGGCAACTCTGTAGACTAAATTAACGGTTTAGAAGCAATTAAGATAAATTAAAACCAAAAAATTTATTGACCAAACGGAATCTAAAAATAGGACTCACTTTTTGCAAAGCTGCGTATATTTTGTACATAGCAGCTTCATCTTCGTAATTACGCTCTTTAGATTCTGGTTTAATAGATGGTTTTGCTCCAATTGTCTGCAAAACTTCGTCTTCAGTGAGCATTCTTGAAAGCATTCGCTTTCCATCAGTCATACGAGGAGAAGTAGCTGCAACTGTAGAAGATGTTGCTGCTTGACTTTGAAACAATGTATCAAGGCTAATTGGACCAGGTTTTAATTCATTTGGAGCCGGATGACCTTGCGTTGGTGTAGGAAACACTGGGTGTCTTTCATTTTTGTGTTCCACTTCTTGTGAGCTTTCATCTACATTATGAGAAAAAAACCTGGCAAAGCGAGATGTTCCTTGCTCTCGAGGAATTATCTCAGCATTTTTTTACGACACCAGTTTTAGGAATATTATCCTCGGCCATGGCAAGTTTATTATGTTTTGACAGAAACTTATCAAAAGCCGACGAGCCAGAATCCAGAGGTGCATTGAGATCGACTCCAGGGCCAAAAAGTTGGTCCACATTGGCCAAGTACAATGTTGACTCTATGTAACAAACGACATTTCCATTTAGATTTTTTTGTTTTAATTCCATTGCACACATTAAAGACTTAACATAAAGTTAATAAATATATCTATATTACATAGATTGTAAACTAATAATTTTGAAAAATATTAAAAGTACAGTTAATTTACCATTGAAATCGGAGGTTTCTTTCTCTTTTGAACCATTTTGCGACACTTCAGGTATAGGGTTTCCAACAAATGTACTAGATTCTTCTGAAGTCCCGATCTTATTATCAGGCCTCCAAGACGTACTGCTATCAGCACGTGATATACTCCGTGCTCTACCTTTCTCGGCAGTTTCTTTGCGCTCTTTGTCCTTTTCTGATCTTGACCTTTCTTTATCTTTACGTTCTCGGTCTTGTTCCTTCATCTGAGACTTCCACGCTTGAAAATCAAAATGCTTTTTATCTTCATACCCGCCATTCTCACCATTTTTTGTATCTTCATCAGTTTGCGGATTGTAATGCATCCATTTAGGCGTCTCGGATCTGTCTTCGGAATGGTAATGTCTGATAAAATTGGTTTTGCTCAATTGGTCCCTCCCAGATACGCCACCACCTGCGGAAACGAAACAAATATTAAAATCTGATAATATAGAAATATTAAAAGGACTGGTCAAATTTTCATCACCATCTCTACGGCTGTTCTTATTTGTATCTTGAGATCTTGTATGGCCTAAACCACGACTGTGAGAATTATGCGATGATCCCATTGATTCCTTGAGTGCTTTATCCGCTAGAGCTCGTTCCCTCAGAGCTTCCCTACCAACGAAACCTCGTTCACCTGTAGGACCACGAGGAGCCCGGGGTTCATAATCCTTAATTCCAGTCCTCGAATATTCATCCTAACATTTGATATCGGCATATTGTTAATTGAATTTTGAAAGGACGCACTTGAAACCAAAAGAACACTCACTTGACGTTGTCGCATTCCATCAGACCTGCCAGTTCTAGCCTGATTTGGTTTGTCTTCTGCACTTCTTAATCCTCCAACAGAAGATGAAGCGAAAATCGTTTTAGGAGGTCCAAGAATAATTTTATCTGAATTTTTAATTGATGATTCAATTTATTAATCATTAATCACTATAGAAACCACTTATTAGCAAGTTCAACACATGCCTGATGGTTTGGGAGATGTCGGCTCCGATCCGTTAGGACTTTTTGAAGATCCTATTAAGGGGCTTTTCGAAATACCTGCAATCAAGTCGTCTTTGGACTTATTTAATCCATCAACGAAGCTTTGACCAAGTTGTTTGCTAAATTAAAAAGTCGTCATCAACTGTAATCATCTTGAATTATCAACTAGCAAAATATATTGATGAATACCCTTTTTCATTATCCTGAACACCGTCAGTGTTATTTCTCTTTTCTTTCTTTACCACCGGCTCCCTTAAATAAAATCAATAATCAGAATTGATACCATGCAATGGACTTGTCCGTTCTTATAATTCAAGAACAATTGATCATAAAAAACTGATAAGAATTATGCAAGAAAAAAAAAAGGTGCTAACAGGGTTTGCTGATCTACCGAATTAATGTTTAAGGTGAAAAAGAATAAATGCTTTAAATTTACCCAAACCATGAACTAATTGGTGGTAGAGCGTCCGGTTTTTTAACAAGTGGGCTTTCGCGCAATTCCAACAATTGCTCTCTCGTATAACGAATTATGTTTCTCGATTTCGTATTTAAAGACATGTTGATTGGTTTTTCTTCATCCTTTATCGCGTCATCAGAATCCTTTTTATCTACATCTCTTGCAGGCGTTTGGATGCTACCGTCTAACTCTGTTGAATCAGCAGATGCTTGGTTGCCAAACTCGCTTGATTCAAGTGTACTGTCCTCGGCTTCAGACATCTGATAATCGCCAACTTAAATCAAATAATGCAAATAAGTTTTATAAAGCAAAAGAATGTTTTACAACCAATCGAAAAGATTGTATTCGGAGGTCACCGTCACAGACGAATTTGACAGATCCTTAGGTTTTAAAGGTGAATTACTAGGTTTATTTAAAAAAGCCTAAACGTATGTGTACACTAATGTTTTGTATGATGCGCGGTGCGCCTGCAATGGTAGAGATAGATTTATATTTTGGTTGCCTTTGGCCGAGTCGGTAAAAAAATCCAACTCTAAATTTTGAGTGTGCGCTGTGTGCTTGGACATCACAAGGATACGGGCAATTTATAGGCCACTCACTGGTAATTTTTTGTATATGTTTGAAGGTCACAACACCCACGAAATCGTCATCATAACTGATAATGATCCATTTATCATAAATATAGTAAACATATAAATTGCATTCGAGTTTATATATACAAAGATGATTAATCATAAATTATGTAACTAATATATAAAAATCGGCGATTTGGCGTCCATTTTTCTGGTTTTTTTTTTCTCTTTTTTTTTTTTTTTCTTTCGGTGTACAAATTACCTGGCAATATAAAATAGACTATTAATAATTACTAGTTCACTTTTATCCACATGCCATAACTATAGTTATGAGATACACGGTAAAATGTGCTGGCGATACGGTTAAGATCCGTTTACTATGATAGTTGCGATACTGTCTCGACATAATCTTTAGTCGGTATCGAAAAAAAAAAAGGTAAAAAAAAAAAAAAGTAAAAATCATATTGACAACTGCATCCGATACTGGAATTCGTTCCACGGCACACCTGTCATATAGTAGCAATTTTTATTCGAAAGTTACTGGCCTTGCGATTGAGAGTTTATCCTACGACCACGATCAACAGAAAGATACAATAAAAACCAAAAGGACGCAAGGAATTAAATGAAAAAAATGAAGTAGGAAAAAATGTAACTTCTCTTGCAACCCTTAGTGTATGTATGTAATCATAATGATAGCTTCGCGAAGTGGTAATTTTCCACATAAACTACTGTATAAAGAATAAATTCAACATGCCAAACATGAGAAATCGGGTGTTTCAATACAATGAACCACAAATATGAACAAATTACTCTTGCTACGGTTTCTCAGCGGCGCACCCAGAATGTAAGGATTTCCTTCATTTGATGGCAAGTCGTCCTCTACTTTCAACGTTAAACACCTAAAAACTATCCACAAATAATTATCGATCAGTCTTATTTAAGCTAAAATTATTATTATTATTTTTTTCTCTTTTTTTTTTTTTTTCTTTTTTTTTTTTTCTTTTTTTCAAGCATCTCGAACACCGCGAAGTATCATAGATTTGCTGCTTTTGGAAATCGAGCGTTATAAAACATATCGAGAATAAACACAGCCGTGATTTGGTTGCCTCCAAACCATCGTCCGTTGAGGCCATTCACTGCATTTTTAGCGGACGCGACATTATCAAATTTCATATAAATATCCCCCTTAAAAATGATTGTGGTCTTAGTGTCAATGTAAAATAAATTTAATGAAAATTTTCAGTTTTAATACCAAATACATACTTCTGATTCTTTGTCAACACTAATATGTACAACAGCACCATATTTGACGCATTCTCCTTTTACGTCTTCTTCAAGTTCTTCCCCCAATTTGATTCAGTTTCTCTAAAAATAATCAATTAAATAATCAGATTTTAAAATTTATTGAATCGCAATCAATTATAGACCCTAGTGTTGCCATTTGTCTTAACCTTCAAGCACAACTTGAAGCCAATAGAACATGATCAACATTATATGGCTAGTTGGACAACATTGATACATTCATACTTACTCTTCAGGATTAAACATATTTTTTAACAAAACACAACGAGTTGGGTTCACTCTTGGTTGGACAGGACGTGGCCTATATTATTAAAACAAATCAAAACTGATTTATAATGTTCTCGCTACAATTATACCATACATAATTATTGAATGAAACTACTGACACTTCTGATAAGGCAGGCGTAGTCGCAGGGGCAATTAAGTCAGTATCGCGGGCTAACTTTTGCATTAATTCAACTCGCGATTGTGCGTTAAGAGCTAAACCAGCAACATCTAAAAAATTTATTTCGGTGATACATAAGCATTAATCAATTAATTTATAAAAAATTAGCAGGAAACAATAATTGATAGTATATACAAACCACCGTCATCAAGATTCAAATTCATGCCATTGCTCTTATCAGTAACAAGGCCTACTTTAATCTGTAAAGCAACCATTACTACATAAGCTTTTGGTACAAATAAATTCATACACACAGCAATCGATAACTTACTGTTCTTCCAGCCAACTCAAAGCCATTCATTTTTTCTAGTGCTTGCTTAGCATCTTCTGGATTTTTATATCTAGATCGAATATTATATAAGAACATTATTATTTTAGCAAACATATATTTTGAGTGCAATAAATATTCTTCTTACTGAATAAAGGCAAAGCCCCTAGACCGGCCAGTTTCAGGATCTTTATGTAGGTTAACAAATTCTAATGGTCCAAATGGTTCAAAAACTTGTCTCAAATCATCTTCTGTCAAATTAAAATGAACTGACCCAACATATAGCCGGTGATAAGCAATATCTGTTGCGTGGGAAGCTCTACACATGTGACATTGTATAAGTAAGAACACCATCATAGTCTAAAGATCAGAGAAGTTGAAGTATAAACTCACGCTTGTTCCGCTAATCTTGCTTGTCTATTTTTTTCTGCTTCAGTCAATTGTACGATCACTGGAATACCTAGAAGTTTTTGCCCAGTCAAAGCCAAAGCTTTTGGAACAGATTCTTCATCATAAAATTCAACATAACCGACCCTAGAAATCAATATGAATTGCATGATTAGCATTTATTAACAATTGGACAAGTATGTAAAAAATCATAAATAATTACCCTTTTGACCTTCTAGATATTCTATCAGCAATGATCTTTGCATCTCGAACCTTCCCAGCCGATGAAAAAAAATCAGCAAGTTCTCGAGTTCGAAGACGTGCAGCTAATTGCATAACAAATACTGTACGTTTATCACGTTCTTCTTCGTCTAAAGGAGGAGTTGGTGAACGCCGCCGACGGTCACTATGAAGCAAATATTCATAATTAATTTTAACATATCATGTTTGTAGCTGCTTGTTCTTCAAACTGGCTTACCTGAATCTGCTTGGACTACGACTCCTCCTGCGTGCGCTACGACTTCTTCTACGCCTTTCCCTAGAACGAGTACGACTTCTTCGTCGTCTTTCACGCGATCTAGATCGACTACGATGTCTTCTGTGTCTGTCTCGCGATCTAGAACGTGACTTTCGTGTACGACGAGATCTAGAATGTGATCTATGTCGGTGACTGGAAGTTCTCGAAGAACTTCGGTGACGTCGTCGCTCATCACTAGAAAATATATCCTGTGATGTTTAGCTCAAACCAATGTAAACGACTATGTTTAGCTACAAAATGGTAAGTAACCTTTTTATATCGTCTTTTTGGTCCGATCGACTCTTTCCGTTAGTGTTGTGAGTAACCGATTCCTATAGACAAAGAAATTAGCTTAAAAAGATTCAATAAAAATGTCAAGGATAAATAACCTTTACCTGGCCCTTTTGAAAGGGGGCTTCTAGCATTGCTTCAACATCTAAATCATCAGCCATTTCGTAGTTTTCTTTTTTTTTTTCCTTTGATAAAAAACTTTTTTTCTAAAAACTTTTTATCGTTAAGCAGCAAAAAAAAGGACCATCTATTTATATATCGTATGTAGCACTGCAAGTTGGCGCCACATGACCCCAGAAACTTATAGTAACTTATACGTATATATTCTAATATAGAAAAAATTACTAATAATCCCATGGTGATATTAATTTTATAAAAAACAAAGTGCAAAACACAACAGGGATAGGACGTTAACATTAGAAGCTATAGCCATAGACTAATTAGTACGCTAAGGTCGATTTTCTTGAGTATTTTCGTTTTTTCTTCTTTTTCACGTGTTCGGAACATTATGGGCTCATAGGAAGACATTTATATTATTGGCTAACTTTGTAGATCTACCCGTGATTTTCCGTAATAATTAACCAATCAAATCAATCAAAATTTCAATATCGCGAATGATTTTACCCAAATTTCTATTGGCTGGGACTATTCGAATATCTAATGTGTTATCTTCATCAGAATTAGAGTACGCAAAAGGTGATTTCTTAGGCGAAATTTGAGATTAATATAACTTTTTATAAGAGTGGTTGTTTCTTTTAATTTTTATATTACACCTGATCTTGCTTTTTGATTTGCTAGGATTATATCACGTTATTAAGAATCGTTGATACTGTCTAATCAAAAATGCGATTTGCCAATAAATAGAGTAAAATTACTGCATTTTCCCAACATATATACTCGGGATATTTTTTTAGCCTATTTTATTTTATTTTTTTTTCTAATTTGGCCTTGTTTATTTGGAATTAAGTTATTTAAAAAATTTGTATAAATTTTATTTATAATTGTAGCTAATTCTACCAAAACAAAGGCTTGCCTACAATATACCAGATTTGACCTGTTTTAGTAGCATTTGGCCTTTCATCTTTAACTTGTTAAAAAAATTTTTTTCTTTATTTTTTTGGCTAGTAGTTATGCACTTATCAAGAAGCAAAATAAAAAAAAAAACAAATTAAAATTTAAAAATTATATAAAGATATAGAAGTTATAATAAAACAAAAGTAAAGTAAAAAGAAAAGAGTAAAGAAAAATTAAAAACAAACCAAAAATATTTTGCTTATTTTAATATTACAATTATTTAACTTTTTTCAATAATTTCTTAGTTAACAACTCCAAAAAACTGAACTATAGATAAATATATTAATATTACTCTTGTTAAGCCACAAAACAAATTTTTATAAATTTTTATATATTAAAATTTTCTCATATACAGTACTGTATATCAACTTTAATATAATTTCTTGTTAATATTACTATCAACATAATTTAAAATTAAGTCAAATAAGTTAATATTAACAAAGAAACCTGTATGATAAAAGACATCAAAATACTTAATAAACTTGGTTTTATACAAGTAAATGTATTATTAATGAAGTATTAAAAATATAAAATCAAGAAGTAAACTATTTGTTATAGTTTTTGTAGAGGTTAAACTTTTCTGTAATAGACTTCTCTATTATATTCAGCATCTAAGTCAGAAGGATATTCTAGAAATACAAAATAACAAGATTAGCATTAGGAATATTAAAAACTTTAGTTTATCACTATATAACTATAAAATTTATAAGAAACAATTCATTAAGTTTTTGTTAACCTATTATTTTTTTCAAAGAAATTTTATCTAAAAGTAAACATTTTAGTTTACTTCTCATAAAGATCAACACATAACTTTTAAAATAGTTTGTATTATTTATTTTTCAAAACAGATGATTACTATAAGTTATTTGTTTATAATAAGTATAGTAATCTTGTAGCTTACTTATTTCATACTATATAATAGAGTTAAGAATAACTGTAACAATATAATAGTATATTATACATGTTTCAAATTATCAGTAATCTATTAAACAATATATTAAAACTATCTATTAACTATTTTGTTTAGTTTAAATTAGTTTTTTTAATTTAGTTTTGCTATTATTAAAGTTTTTTAAATATACTGTATATCTTATTAGAATAGAGATAAATACAGAACTTCTTTATACTTTAATATGTAATTTTTTAAAAAAAACCTAATATAGGCTTATAATTGTAACTATTAAATTATTTTTTTATTTTCTTTTTTCTTTTTTTTAGTATTAGTATTAGCATTAATATTTTTTTTTATTTCTCTATTGTTATATTAACAAATTTTTATTAGTTAAATTTATTAGTTAAATTTATTTATATTATTATATTTTATTAGTCAATTTTTATTAGTTATATTTTATTAGCAATTTTTATTATATATTTATTATATTTTTTCTTAAATTTTATTATATATTATATTATTATTATATATTTTATAGTATAATTAGTTTATTTATATAGTTTATAAAATATTTTATTTATTTCAATCATTTAAATGATAGTTTATTATTAACTTTATTAGGATAGTATTATAAAGTAGATTTTTAAATTAGATTTTATTAAATATTATTTAGCTATTTTTAGTTATTATTATGTAAAATATTTGTAGTTAAAATATTTTTTTCCTTCAGCAATTCTGTTTATTTTATTATAAGAACAAACTTTCATTTTTATATTGGCTAATGAAAAAATCTAAATCTATAGTGTTTTTATCAAAAGATAAACTTATTCATAGCTTTATCTCGCAAGTATTATAGCATCCATTTGCAGTCAAAGCGAATCATTAAACTGCTGTATTATACCCAAATATAACCTGTCTAATAAACAATTAGCCTCTTTCAGAGATCTGGAACTTACTCTGGACTTATTTCTCCAAATTCTTTGGCTGGCTATTATGTTGTCCCATCAAGATTTCTGCTCTATAATAGAATGCTGCTAAACTGATAACACTTTTTCATAGAAAAAAAAAAAAAAGGTGATAATAGAAAACAAAAAAGAGATATATAATAAAAATTAATATATTAAAGAAAATAGATACTAATATTAAGAAGTAAAAATCTAAACTAAAACCTAAAAAAAACTATTGCTAAAAAGAAGAAAACCTGCTAATTAGACAAAAACTTCTAATTATATAGAGTAACGATTTACTATTTTTTTTTGATATTAAGGTGACCACTTTGGGGTCTGGCATAT